CCTCAGCACTGGAAAAAATAATATTCATATATGAGATCTATTTACATACATGGGTTTACTGCGTATGGCGTTTACTACCCTTATTTATTTAGCATTGTTACACATATAACACTTCATTTATTACATCATATCACCTAGATTATGTTTGCATTTGGATTATACATTATACTGAGACCCAGGACTTTCACACAGAAGGAAAAAATATGTGTCAAAGTTGGCTTCTTACTCCATGAATAAATTTTTGGCCTTGCTGGGATTTCAACTCATGGCCTACAATGCCCAATCCATAAATGGGATCACAGTCTTAGCACACCAGCCTCCAGAAAACAGAGCTGCCAGGAAGTTCTGAAGACCTTTGATCAAGTCACACTAGTACCCAATATATACATTAATAGATATGTATATGTATATATGTGTGTGTATATATATATAGATATATACTGAGAGAGGGAATGTGATGATATTAAATTATATATATATATAATTACCAATTATTAGTTATTACATTATGCCACCATTTAATGAAGTATCATGGTTGAATACTTATACAAGCATTAATTAAAAATTAGTCAAAATCCTTCAATTAGGGGAATCATAACATGGTGCTAGAATGGAAGATATAAATCCAATAATATTTGTGTGGCATTCTAAAATAGAATCATGAATTAACTGCAAATTTAATTATTACTTTTATAATATTTCATTAGCATTCACACGAATAGGAATGAGTTTGTCAGGGTCTCCCTCCATTTGTGGGTGGCAATCCTAGCAATCAAACTCCAGGGTAGTTTACTTCGAATGCAAACCATTGGAATGACACGGTGAAGATTTCAGATTGTCATGGTTTAAAAAAGAACAAGAAAAGAAAGCTAGGTGTCAGTGGCTCCTGCCTGTAATCCTAGCTCCTCAGGAGGCTGAGATGTAGAGAATGCCAACTTGAATTCAGCCAGGGCAGGAAAGTAGGCGACACTCATTTCTAAGAGATCACAGGGAAAAACAACAACAACAAAAAAACATGAGTGGGATCGTGACTCGAGTTGCAGAGTATTGCCCTTGAGCAAAAGGAACTCAGGGACAGGGCCTAGGTTCATAGTTCAACCCCAGACCTGCCCCCCCTCCAAAAAAAGACAGCAGTAACTCCATGTCTCTGTGTATGGATGGATGATATATGAATGATGGGCATTCAGCAGGTTGTCCATGCTCAGCCCACCCAACTTGGGCAAGCTGGGAAAAGCCCTCAGAGTTCCTAGGCTGTAGGAGTGGTCGAAGGTTCTGGATCCATATTCTCTATCCCTCTGCAGTATGTGAGCCTAGACCTCTGGGGCCTGGTGGCTCTCATTCATTCATCATTCCTCATTGCCGAGTCACAGACTGGTCCTAAATCTCGGCAAAGATATGAAATAGTCAGTGATTTCTATGCCAAATGGGGTAAGCCAATAAATCCCACCCTCATAACTCCTGTTACAATTCAGCCTTGGGCTGCAAATGTGGCTTAGTGGTAGAGTGCTTACCTAGCACACACAAAGCTCTGGGTTCTATTTCTCAGTACTACAGAAACAGAGAAAGCCAAAAGTGGCACTGTGGCTAGCCTTGAGCAAAAGAAGCTCAGGAGCATGCCCAGACCCTGAGTTCAAGCCCGATGACCGGCAAAAAAAAAAAAAAAGTGAGCCTGGTGAGACATATTGTTCTGGGACTCAAGTGTTTGAGTGCTAGCCTTGAATGAAAAAAACTAAGGGACAGAGCCCAGGACCTGAGTTCAAGCCCTAGTACCAAAATGCACCCACACACACAGGAAGGTGGTAATGATGAGCTGAGCCAGAACTGGGGGCAGTCCTTAGGTATAGTCATAGTAAACTCTCAAGCCAGATCATGTGGTTTCTCCCTAAGTCCTTCTTGGGCTGAGGGGTCTGGGCCAAGGCAGTAAGTTCTAGGGAACCCCCCCCTCCATCCATGCATGGGGCCACAGGACCAAGGGGAAGAACACTAAGGATGCTCCTTTGTAGTTGGCCCATGATTGCAGACCTTCGTTTGCCCCCAAGCACTGGTGAGGGAAGAAGGGCTCTGAGCCCTGGGACTCCAGGCTGCTGCTAGAAGTAGCAGCCAGCCGGCGGTGGGTGGATTTGTGAGCACACAAGTCTTTCATGAGCCTAACTCAACACCCCTCCCCCAAGGTGTGCCTGACAGATTTGCACTCTTGTGATCCCTGCATGAGCGGGCATTACCTGCCGTGCCATCTTGCAGCTTCTGCCCCTCCTGGCCCAGATCTCAGCCTCCTGAGTAGCTAGGAAAATGAGAGCTTGAGCTATCACTATCCTTCTTGGCTAAAGACAGATTATCTCTCTACCAGCCTAGCACCCATCTACAGTTACCCCTCCTACTTCACCCCTACTCCTCCAGACTGCAGAGGAATCATACCCTTCCCTGAGGTCAAAGAAATATGATCAGGTTTGAGCTTTATGTTCTCCACATAGTCAGGGGCTTCTGGGAGCTGAAGTGTAGAGCACCAATCTTATGTTAACAAGCTAAAGGATACCACCTAGGCTCTGAGTTCAAGCCCTGGTAAATTCACAAACACACACACACACACACACACACACACACACACACAAAGCACACACAAAAACATCCTTAGTAGGTCACAATGTCTTATACCAGCAATCCTAGCTACGTAAGAAGCTGAGCTCTTAGGATGGCAGCTTAAAGCCAGCCCAGGCAGGAAAGTCCGTGAGACTCTTCTCTCTACTAAACTACTAAAAAAGATGAAAGGTGAGCTGTGGTTCAAGTGGTGGAGTGTTAGCTTTGAGCAATGGAAGCTCAGAGACAGTGCCTAGGCCCTGAGTTCCAGCTCTAAGACTTTTTTAAGACAACCTTTGCCACCACCTCACCCCCAATCAGGCCATAAATCCAGATTTTGGTCACCCTGGATCTCACTTCCACTCCTGCCACTTTCAAAGCACTGCCACAAGTGGCCGGTGTGGTGTCAGCACTGGATTAAGAAGTGAACGTACAATAAGGGGGGCATAGCCAGGTCAAGGCTAATGCCCCAGAACATTGAGGTATTGGCCATACTAGTCTCTCATGCCCCAGTTCCCTGGACCTAGAATCTAAAGTGTGTCCATCTGTATTCTGGGCATCCAGAATTGTCTAGAAGGACCTGAGCAGCCAAGCTTGTGGGGAAGGGGGGGAATAGACTTTCCTGTGACAAGGTATGTTGACATTTCCTAGACACTGACGGATATTTCCAAGCCACCTTGGCCTCACCTCACATGTAGCCCCGGATCCTCCTTGCTTGAGCGGCCTTCAGTCACCTATCAAGCTCGAGTTGGCCAGAGCTACCGGAAAACTTCCATCCCCCACTCCACTGCCAGCGTGCAGGGAGGGACATGCAGCCAGAGACCCAGCAGAGGAAAATGCAGGACATCTTATAACTGAGGCCTCCCAGTGGCAGGGGAGACCCTATGCTAGCTGGCCATGCTGACCCAGAATCCAGAATCCCCTGGAGGTGCCCAAAGATTTGGACAGGCCAGACTTAGGCCCCAAAGAAAAACTGGAATGCAGGCCTCTGGCAATTTAGGATTCATTGTAGACCCTGATAGGGGGCTAAAGGGCAAGTGTGGAGGAGGGGAACCATCCAACATCAGAAAGAGGCAGACAGGCCCCAGGAAGGAGACAGAGAGAGATGAAGGAAACACACACACACACACACACACACACACACACACACACACACCGTTAGCCCAAAGCCTCAGCAGTCCCTGAGCACTCTGAACATCCCACACCCAAGAAGATGGCACTAACATCCTCAGACCAAGTGGAGACAAAACTCAGGACATCTCTCACATCTGGAATGGCTCATAACACATCTTGGCATTTCCTAAATGTACATACCACTATGCAGAAAACTCAGCTAGTTTTATTTTTGGTTGTCAGTCATGGGGTTTGAACTCTGGGCCTGCACGCAATCCCTTAGCTCTTGAGCTGAAGGTAGGCGCTCTACCACGGAAGCCACAGTACCACTTCTGGCTTTCCAGTGGTTCACTGGAGATAAAGTCTCACACATTTTCCTGCCCAAGCTGGCTTTGAACCACGATCCTCAGATCTCAGCCTCCTGAGTAGCTAGGATGACAGTTGTGAGCCACCGGCAACGACTGGCTTCAGCCACCTTCTAATACCAAGAGAAAACTCAACTCATCAAGACACAAACCACATGTAACCCTACACTTCAGACTTTGTCACCATTCTTCCATGAATGGAGAGCATATAATTGACACTGCCATCCCACCCCTGCTCCCATTCACCCACTCCCTGCCTACCACAGGCCACAACCTCTGGAGTTCTTGGTAAGGCACCACCCACCCTGTTATGGCTTCATACTGGGGCAAACCTGGGGAGGCCAGCATCTGGTCTCCCAACCATAGCAACCCCACTGCTTCAACATCTCTTGCAAGCAAGGAAGGGATGCCTTTCTTTTTTTCCTGTTTTTTTTTTCCTTTTTTCTTTTATTTTTCTTCTTTTTTGGATGAGGGGCTTGAACTCAGGGCTTGGGTACTGTCCCTGAGGTTGATTTTTCTTCAAGGCCAGTGCTCTACCACTTGAGCTACAGTGCCACTTCCAGTTGGATTGGAGATGAGCCTCTCGTGACACTTTCCTGCCTGGGCTGGGAAATGAGATCCTCTGGATCTCAGCCTCCCGAGTAGCCAGGATGACAAGTGTGGGATGAGAGGGGTGAACGACTGGCTTAAGGTGTCTAGTCCTTCAGAATTTCCACCTACTCCTCCTCTAGAAGCTACCACCTAGACACCCCTCTTCCTCCCTCAGGGACAGCAAAAGGAGGCTCAGAATTTGGGTGGGGCCATGGGGATTAAAGGGCCCCCTCACATCACTAGCCCTCTCTAAGCTCCCATCTGCCTCCTCCTGATTGCCTGGTCTTCCAGGCCAGATCAGACCCACAAGGAGTTCTGTGGCCTGCCCTATATCCTCCTGCCCCACCCAACCTGTACCTGAGGATTTCTGGGGCCAGCTGCTCCATGTCCTGGTGGAAGACGTTGGGAGGGTTGCTGATAACTGGATCCAGGGGTGCCCAGGGCAAAAGGAGTATCCAGCTCCCCTCTGTCAAAGGAGACACAAAGCACGGATGGATTTACTAAGAGCTTCAGGGCATAGCCATCAACCTGTCACAAAGGTCCCTGGGAGAACTGTTTTATAGTGACAGCCCTGGGGCCTGACATCGGGACCCCGGCGCTGTCCCCGACTTTCTTTGTCTTCAGGGGAGGGCTCTTTCACCTGAGCCACAGTGCCACTTCCAGCTTTTTCTGTGTATGCAGGACCTAGGAATCCAACCTGTGCTTTCCTGCGAGCTTGATGAGCCCTTTACCTCTAAGACACAATTCCAGCCCTAGATAGCTGTTCTTCTATGATCCCTTAGACCTGTATAGGGACAGTCTGGCACATCTATACCAAGTCACACATCTATACCGAGTCTCTCACCAGCAGCCCTGGCTGGAAATGAACATGCTCTGCTGTGTTGTCCATCATATTCAGCACCTTTGCTCTCTGTGCTTCTTGTCAGATCCTCCTACTTAAGCAAGACCCCCTTTTCAAGTGCTGCCTCCAAGAAGACCATTCCGATCACCTTGGTAGAGCTGGAGCCTCTCCACTCTGCAGGCTGCCAGCCTTGTAAGGCTCTGTCTTCCAGCCAATGTGGGTTGACAGTGCACAAAGGGAAAGCCTGGATTCCACCCCCAGATTTCTGAAGGCCCTGATACACCACCCAGGGACAGGTTTTGTACCACACTCCATGAGAGGGGACTCGAGGCCCAGGCAATCTGTGGGCAACAAGATGGGGCCATTTCTTTGTGTGGGCTTGAACTGAGGATCTGGGAGCTGTCTCTCTGAGTTTTATTGTTCAAGGCTGATGCTCTACCACTTGAGCCACAGCTCCACTTCTAGCTTTTTGGTGGTTCCATGGAGAGTAGAGTCTCACGGGCTTTCCAGCTTATGGCTGGATTCAAGCTGTGATCCTCAGATCTCAGCCTCCGGAGTAGCCAGGATGACAGGCATGAGCCTGAGCCTCAGGTGATGGGCACCAACGGCTTTTTTTTGCTCCTATTTATCTCCTGTCAACTAGCAAGCCCAATTTAAAATAATCAGTTACAGGGGATCAAAATTCTCTCCTAGGTCAGTTAATCCAAGGAGATAAAGTGTCTTTGGAAAAGGCTAGTCTGAGTTGGCTTAGGGGTGTTTGTGTGTTCGTGTGTGTGTGTGTGTGTGTGTGTGTGTGTGTGTGTGTGTGTGTGTGTAAAGTGTCCGGGATACCTACCCTCATCTCTGTGGTGCCTCATCCTCCCAGCAGGGAGTGCATCCAGGATCCTGACCCCAAGGAAGGTGGGGGGGTACCTAAGGTCACATCAAGGGGGATGATCCAAATTCTGTCTGGCAGCCTAAGCCTGGACAGATAAAGGAGAGAAGGAGAGGTTTAGGGGAATATCAAGGGAAGTCCCTTGCCTTTGGCTACAAGTACCAGCAGAAGACAGTATCCATCTTTCTTGGTCGTCAGATAAAAGGTGCACACTGTTCACTTATTTTATGATTGTGTTAGTCCTAGGACTTGGATTCAAGGCCTGGGTGTTATCCCTGAGCATCTTTTGTTCAAGGCTGAGGCTCTACCACTTGAGCCACAGCACATCTGGCTTAAGTGTGAGTTTGGAGAGGGAGGTGGTTTATGGGAGATAAGAATCTCACAGACTTTCCTGCCTGGGCTGCTCTGAGTCACAACCATCAGACTTCAGCCTCCCAAAGAGTCAGGATGATAAGTGGGAGCCATGAGCTCCTGACTGCCACCATCCATTTATAATCCCTTAGGCCCAGGGCCAGGCTACCCACACTACACCTCCTTGTTGGGAGAAGGAAGCAGACATGAGTGGGTTTGATACTTCAACAGCCTACCTATCTTTGAGCATTGTTCTGGGTCAGTCTGATGGAGGCTTCATCCTTATCCACAGCAATGACTTGGCTCTGTCACAAGAACAAATGTGCCCCTGGGAGGTGTCAGGTCTGGGGTCTTTCCTCTGAACCCCGCCACCCTAACCAAAACGACACTCCCCAGCAAAGGGTAGTACACATGGAGTGTTTTTATTGTCTTATAGCCAGGGTTTTGTCAGATAGGTGGAGGTATAGGTCAGAGGCCCAGGATTGTGCTGGGCAGGGGGAAAAGGCGACACCTTCTCATCCACTTTCCTTCAACGGTGTAGCAGAGGGATGTGGGGAAGGACTCATGGGATGGACATAGAATAACCGTCATGGTCTAGCCGTAGCATGGAGGGGCTTACCTCATGAAGCTGGTTCAACAGGCTGAGCAAAACTGCTCCTGAATCACAGCCCACCTCCAGAATGAGAGGATCACTGTGGGTTCCAGCCACATGGGGATGCTGGACTACCTCCTCCAGCACCCATTCTACCAGTTCCCTAGAGAGACAAAGTGAGAGGGAGAGAGAGAGAGAAGGAGAGGGAGGGGGGAAGGGAAGAGAGATGGAGAGAGAGAGAGGACCAGAATTACACTTAAGCCAGGTGCTTAGTGGCTCAGGCCTATAATCCTAAGTACACAGGAGGCTGAGATGTGAAGATCATGGCTCATAGCTGGACCTGGCAGGAAGATCTGTGAGACACTTATCCTCAAAGAACCAACAGAAAAATGGAAGTGATGCGGTGGCTCATGTGGTAGAGCGCTAGCCTTGATCTGAGGAGCTCAGGTACAGTATCCAGATCCAGAATTCAAACCCCACAAATGATAAGAAGTGTACTTCCCACCACAAGAAGTGGACTGAATAACACCCACTGTCCTACGAAGCATGGCAGAGAAATCAGGCCGAGCTTCCTGTTGGCTGGGGGTCATGAGTAGTTCACCTGGTTTCACCATGACTCATTTTCCCCAGCTGCAAGACTGAATACAGTGAAGAATCCCCTTCATCATGGGAAAAGGGTAATGATGAAAGACAGACAGGTTTTGTTTCATATTCCCACACCTGTTGCACTATTAAAAACAGACCCCATCTGAGCCCTTTCTGGTAACTTCCTGACATATAATCACAGAATTGTTGAGAACTGTATCTGACACCTGCTCCCTCTGTGCCTGGCACTGCTCCAAAGATACCTCTGTGATAGTCCCTTATTTCCCATGAGGAGACTGAGGTCCGATGGTCAACATCCAACCCAGAGCTTCACCTGTGGTCAAGAATCGGCTGCCGTGAACTAAGAGTTTGGGACAATCCATCTAAAATGATGACTGAGCGGGATACTAAATGTCTACCACCACCACCCACACAAACACAGACACATACACACAAACACACCTTCACCGTCCTTTGCAGGCAAAGATGTTTTACTTTCTTTCTTTTTGTTGGTTGTGGGGCTTGAACTCTGGGCCTGGGTGCTATCCATGAGCTCTTCGGCTCAAGTCCAGCACTGTACTACTTGAGCCACAGCACCACTTCCGGTTTTCTGGTGATTTATTGGAGAGAAGAGTCTGAGGGTCTTTCCTGCCCAAGCTGGCTTTTATCCGTGATTCTAAGATTCAGCTCCTGAGTACTTAGGATGACACCCATGAGCCACTGGTACCCGGCCAAAGATGCTTTTCCATGCCTGTCATCCTATCCCCTCAGGAGACTGAGGTCTAACGACTGCAATTGAATGCCACTCTTGGCAGCAAAGTCATTGAGAACTCTTATCTCAAATTAAACACCCAAAAACATTGCAAGTGGAGCTATGGCTCAAATGGTAGAGTGCTAGCTTTGAGCATGAAACAAGGGATGGGACCAAGGCCCTAGTTTTAAGCTTTTTCGAGCATAGACCCACCCAAAAAAGGGAAGCAGGTGAGCACAGGGGAGCTCAAAGCTCACACATAATAATCAAGAATAACAGAATAGACCCCATCCTGCTCTGAGTCTCTAGATTCTACGTCCTAGGTCATGGCAGTCTTAGATGGGACTGACCATGCACCAACTCCGGATATTCAAGTACAATCTCATACTGAGAATCCGGTGACCTCATCAAGGACTCAAGATCTCTCACTGTCCTGCCTTGACACTAGGCAGACAGGTGAGATCAAGTTATCCAACCAAAGGATATGGGAATGAATGAATTTCTCAGCCAAGGGATGCAGACTGGAGGGCTCTAGGTCCCTCTCTCTTGGGAAGGAGAAAAGGGCTGATCCATCTCTAATATTCCTGGGTTTGAGTATCCTCAAAGAAACAACCCTGCTCAGAGCTCAGTGCCTATGGTTTTCTCAAAAGCCTCGACCATCAGTCCACCCTCTCTAAAGCCCACACCTGCCATCTAGACTAAAGGCTGAGCCAGCAAGGAGACCCACCTCTACCTCTGAGAAAGGCAGTCACGGGGCCCAAAGTCCCCTAGAGGAAGTCTCAGAGCAACACTGGTCTGAATCCTGCCCTCATTCCCTGGCTGTCCTGTGCCAGTGGCCTGGTTTCCTCTGTCTCTAGTCGAGGAATGAACACTGGGGGTGTCATCTTCAGATTGAGCCAACAAAAGTCCCAGTCCCCAAGGATGTACTGCACAGGCATCCTGCAGTGGACGACAGCGAGGTGGTCAACGGTGAACCCAGAGTGCCAGGACTTTTAATAGCCATGTGGCTGGGTTGAAGGCTCTATCACTGATGGTCTAGGTTGTTAGGTGAGGTCATGGCTTCAATGGCCTGACACACCTGATCTGGGATCATCCTCCCTCTTCATCTTTCTGCTTATCCCTTGAAACCCCCTTTTGGACACTCCCTCACCCTATCCTCCCTAGCCTTTGGACACTTTCTTCTTATCTGGCCAGAAAATAAACTCGGTGAGCCAGGGGAGATTGAAACTCCGTGACCCACACTGAACCCTAGGGTCTACCAGAGGCTGTTTCCCTCTGCAGTCAGCGACCACTCAGATCTTGGATGTCATGAAGTTACTGAGGGGACAGTGGCTTCGTCCTACATACTTGCTTTAGGCTCTGAAACTGTCCCCACTGAGATTGTGAATGGTTGACTCCCTTGATCCAGGAACTCCAAACCAAGGCCTGCATGATCCCTTCTTCTTCCTTTCCTCCTTTTCTCCCTCCCTCCTTCCCTCCTCTCTATCTCTTTCCTCTCTTTGCGTCACTCCTGGGCCTTAAAATCAGAGCCTGGGTGCTGTCCCTGAGCCTTTTTACTCAAGGCCAACAGTCTATGGCTTGAGCCACTCATCCACTTCTGGCATTTTCTTTTTGGTAGTTAGTTGGAGATAAGAGTCTGATAGGCTTTCCTGCCTGGGCCTTAAGCCTCAATCCTCCCATCTCAGCCTCCTAAGTAGCTAGGATGACAGGAGTGAAGCAATGGTTACCAGCTCAAACCAAGATTTCTTCATGTGCTGTGGAACCAGCACTGGAACCTTTCATCATGTATGACCCGCCTCCCTCCCCCCGAGCTTGGCACACAATGTAACAGTTTGTTGAATAAATAAATGAGCATCTGTCTATGAAAATACTACAGAAAAATCCCATCTAATTCAGGTAAGCATCCTGGGTGGAGGCAAAGCCTGATGTAGCTCTCCAACGGTTCTCCCTCCTCCCTCTTCAAACCCTCCTGGTGCCACTGCACTTAACTGTTTTCGTTCCAAGGACGTGAGCCATGATGTCCTCACTGGATTCCAGGACCTCTGGGATGCCTATCTTCTCAAAGATCTCTGTCCAGCCACTGACCAGCTCTGTGGCACTCCATTCCCCACTCAAGTTTGAACAAGGTTGTAGTGAGGTGAATGACAGGGTCAAGGGGCCTCCTCCCCACTCCCTGGGGCAGACAGGATGGTCCACTATATCCGGCCCCCAATTTTCATGTTGCAGAGAAAGGATCCTTGAGGCATCCCAGGTCTCTGAAACTCCCAGATTCCAGTGCAGGTGCTCGGAATTGTCTCTGCTCACAGCTGGCAGACTGTGGATGGCAAGGTCATAATCTCTGCTCCCCAAGACATCCTCAACTATGGTGGTCACCCTAGAGAGAGCCAGAGGAGATTCAGCAGCTGCCAGAGAAAGGCAGTCAAGGCACGACATTCGTAGCAGGAAACCATCTGGCTTGAGAACTCTGCCTGTGCTGCTTTGAACATCATTGTTTGGTGGCTGAAATGGTCTGTCTAATTTGACACCGAATCCCAGACGTTTCTGGAAATTTTGAGCTTCAAGAAAGAACCCTGGAAAAGCTGGCATTTCACTTGTCCCAATCAAACTTAATGGGTTCCAAAATCAGTAGTCCCCTTTTCCTTCCAGACAGCCTACAGCAGGTTACAGAAAATGGCATTCAGAGAGCCTTAGCTAACTGCCATGTCCTGATACCAAGCAGGCTCCAGCAGGGAGAACACACTTGCCTACCATTGCCCAGCTCAGGAGGGACACAGATTGGAGTCTGCAGGACTCCAGGGAGGACTGCCCACAAGTGCACTGCCCTGGGAGGAAATCCATGCCACCATTGGGGGCCCGGAGCCCCTTGCTCAAATGCCCATGGAAACTGTCAATGCCCTGGGTAAAATTCCCCTCTCATCCTCGGTCGTGGTGAACCATCTGCCATGTCACACCGTTCATCAATTCCCAGACCCTCCTAGCTTCACAGCCTCTGCCCTACACCCCCTATCTCCTTCCCTAATTATGTTTGGCAGACACATTCCCAACTTTGAATTAGCTACAACTATACACATGAGAGCAGACTGTCTGGCTGGAAGAGTGGGGCTGTGGTCACAGTAGCCTCATGAGCCTTCTGGCTAAAGACAGAAGGGCAGGTATCCACGCTAGTCTGTGGTTCACACAGGCCTCCTAGGGGAGACCCACGCAGGCCCAGCAGTTACTGTGGGCTGCAGGAAAGGGGAAGAAAGTGGTGGGAAGGAACATCTAATGAAACCTTCTCTAAAGGAGCCATGACACTGTGAAAGAGAAAACAAAAATTGTGGCTGGGCTCATACTGGGCATTAATGAAAAAAGAACAACAAATACACACATGCACACAAATAAAATGCTTTCGCTCGGGCTAGGAAGGTGGCTCAGTGGTAGAGCGCTTGCCTTGCATGCACGAGGCCCTTATCTCGATTCCTCAGCACCAGGTAAGCAAAAAGAAAAAAGTCGGAAGTGGCACTGTGGCTCAAGTGGTAGCGAGCTAGCCTTGAGCTGAAGAGCTGAGGGACAGCGCACAGGCCCAGAGTTCAGACCCCACAACCGGACCCCCCTCCCAAAAAATGCTTTTGATCTTTTTAGACATGCTGACTGTACAATGAGAAAGGTGATCTCTAGGTGATCTCTCTCTCTCTCTCTCTCTCTCTCTCTCTCTCTCATACACACCTAAACACACAGACTCAGAGCAGTGCCTCTCCTGAATTTGTTGGTCTCTCATCTGGGCAATGTACCTGCTCAAGCACAGGGGTTCCCTTGTCAGAACCAGGGCAACCACCCAAGGGGAACAATGCTCCTCCCCCTTTCTCCAGGGCCAGACCCTTCCCTTTGGAAACAACCAGCCTTGACTCCCCATTCACCAAAACCCTAGGCTAGGACTCTGGGTGAAGGAGTCCCAAGACATGTGGCTCCTCAGAACCTGGACAGAAAACAAAGCAGGGGGTCATGGTGCCTCCAAAGAGGTGTCGGACCTGGGGTGGGGGCGTTGTTGGGGACTTTGATGAGGTCCTAAAGGCTATATACATGGATGGACTCCCTACTTCCAGCCTACATACTTCGGGGCGACTTGGCAGATTCTTGGGGAGGACAAGGGGACCAGATGGACTGGGAGCACTAGCAGAAGCTGGCAGAACTGGGAAATGTGATCACCCAGTCAGAACTGTTGAATGCTGGGGTTGGGGGTACAGGCCGGTTGTATGTGTTTCAGAGGGGCTGTGTTTTTCTTCCAAATACCCACCATCTATCTGACTCCAGTGCCCTCACCTCTCTAGTGGGCTCTTCTGGGAATGTCCTCAGGTGAAAGGGTGACTGAGCACAGAAGACAAGGGCTCACACAGCATGGGGGTCTATATTCTGCATCCAACACCCCCCTGCCCAGCAAAAGGGAAAAGAACCGAGAATGCAGGTGTGGAGGTGCAGCTCCCCACCTCTGACTAAAGCCACCAGGGAGAGGAAGGGTGCAGATGCACAGCTGTGTGGCTCCCACTGCTCCAGGCCAGGGGCTCTGTGGTGCCCCCACCTCCCCATCCCTGCAGCTCCCCTTTTCCTGGAACACTGGCCACTAGGGATGAGGGTGGGATCCCCGGGTGTACAGCCACCTCCACCCCCGACCCCTGAGGTGCATTTGTGGCAGAGCCAGGACAGACTGTCGGGATGGGGGGGTGGGGAGGCGCAGGCAGGAAGGAAGGGGAAGGGGGAGGCAAGAGGCAAGGGTCCAGGTCCGCGAGGGTTGGGAGGAAGGGTAGAGTTGGGGACGGGGTTTATGGGGCGGGGGGGGGCATGGAGTGCGGGAGCACAGATCGGCAACTCACGTAAACTGCTGGGAGAAGCTGTAGGCTGCTACTCCGGTGGGCGCCTGGAGTCTGAAGACCGAAGGCCTGAACCAAGTCAGGGCCACAAGCAGACCAGGGGTGCACCAGCTCCCCCAGTTGACAGCTAGAGGCTCCACGGGTCCAAGCCAGTAGCGCCATGTTTGAAATGCAGCGCGGGCACATGGTGGAGCTGCGCACAGCCTCTGCTCCTCCTCAGCCACCACCGCAGCCTCAGTGGCCTTCTAACCTGTGGCAGCCGCCATCTCAGCAGCCACTGCCTCTGCCGTGCTCCCCACTCCGGGACCTCAGACTCAGGGCCACCATGGCTGAGCGCCTAAGAGGGGCTGTGTGTGGCTATGAGCCTGCCATGCAGGCTCTGCATGCTCTGTGCTCCCGGCCAGGACCCACACTATGATCAGAGCAGCCGCCAGCCACTGAAGCCATTTCCATGGGTGCTAGTGCTCCTGCTAGTGCTTGTGCTCGCTCTTCTCCCAGCTCTCTCTGGGCCCCACATTCCTCTCCTGGGACACCCCACCCCTTCTGCACACACACCCCTGCCCCCTTAGGCTCCTGGCCATTGCTGCCACCATAGTGCGCTCCTGGGCCCCGCTCCATCCTCCCTTGGGCCCTAGCCCCCACCCATGGCCACAATTGCATCCCTGACTGGGCCCTGAGGCTTCTAGACCATGGCAATTGCAGCCTTACCTCAGCTCAGCACTACCCCCACCCACAGTACTGGCCCAGGTGATCGAATCTCCCCTCAGCCCCACCGCTGAAGGAGACTCTCCTCCATCCCCCTCCACTCCACACACCAAGCAGGTGCATGGTGACACTCATGTGTGTATGTGTGTTTGTGTTTGTGTGTGTATGTTGGGGATAACCATCTCTGAAGAACTCAGAATATAGCACCCTTTGGAATGACTCAGCACACAGCACTCTTCCAAAATCAGCACAAAGCACCCTGTGTAAATGACTCAGCACAAAGCTCCCTTTGAAGGACTCAGCATGTAGTATGCTGGGTAGAGTACTCAGCACAAAGCACCCTTTGAAGGAGGGAGTCTATGGACTCCCAGTTTAAAGGATTCAGCGCATGGCATGCTTTGAAAAACTCAGCACATAGCACTCTTTCCTAAGGACTCATCACACCCTGTGTAGAAGTACACTGTGTAAAACACCCAGTGCACAGCATCCTTCAAAAAACTCAGCACACAGAACAATTTTGAAGGATTCCGCACATACCACACTGTGGAAGCACTCAGCACACAGCACCATTTGAAAGACAGTACAGAGCACCCTGTGTAAAGGACTCGGCACACAGCACTCAAAAAACACCTCATCCCTCTCTTCCCAAGGGCTCAGCACATAGCAGGACCCTTTGGGATGCATTAGCACACCACACTTTTTGAAGGATTCAGCATACAGTATGTTGTGTAATGGACTCAGCATACAGCACCCTTTGAAAAACCCATGACTGCCCACTCTTCTCAGGGACTCAGCACATAGCACCCTTTGGGATGACTTACCAAACAGCACCTTTTTGAGGACTCAGCACAAAACCCCCATGTGGGAAGGACCCAGCAAATAGCGCTCTGTGAAGGACTCAGCACATAGCTGTAGGTCACAAATTCAGCTGTCATTAGAATTAAGGTGCTTTCTTCAGTATCACCATTCTTCAGAAACACTGCACAAATCCTACAAGTTCACATTTAGACAACCTGTGTTTTATGGGGGAAGGCCAGCTAGGGGTCTTGAATTGAAAGCTTGGGGGCCCTGTCTCTGAGCACTTTGGTTAAATGCTAGAGCTCTACCACATGGAGGCACAGATCCAATTTTGTTTTTTTTGGGGGGGGGTTTTCTTTCACATGTTTTATGGTGATAAGTAAGGAAAAGTTGTGGTATCCGTGGGCAAAGGCTCTTAGTCAACCTGGAGCTGACCTTTCCCTTCCTTGTGTCCCTGGAAAGCTGGGCCTCCTGGAGCTCTCTTGGCCTAGGGTTGAACAGACCTGCTCTGGCATCAGCAATCAGGGTGAGCAAAAGTCAGCTTGGCTCTGGTCACTTCCCCAAATTGAACTCTAGAGGATAATGGCATGGGGCCGCATGTTCCGCATGTAGCCACCAGGGGGCAGGAGTGGCCCACCATAGGGATAGTACTTGGGAGTTGTGTTTACTCTTGCTTCCCTGGGGCCCCCATTATGATTCAAAGCCACCCTGGAGAGGAAAGTCCTTGAGACTCTTTCCTACAATTAACCATCCAAAAGCAAGTGGGGCTGTGGCTCAAGTGGGAAAGCACTATCCTTGAGCATGAAAACTCAGGGATAGAGCCTAGGCCCTGAGTCCACACACACACACACACACACACACACACACACACACACACACACACCACATGCATGCAAAATCAGAGATTTCTACACTGCAGTCCTTGGGTATTCTCTACTTTTTCCACAATAAGCCTGGTGGCTGCTGGCCTAGGTGTTTGGTACATACAACATCACTTGGCATCTTCAATTTTGGGGGAACAGAATGGCTAGAAGGTCAACCTTCCCCCATCCCAGCTCCTTGATTGGGTCATGGCCTATCCAGGCCCTTTGGGGCTCCTTTACAGACTCACCAAGATGCCTTCAAAAGGCATCACATACTGGGCACTGGTCGCTCATGCCTGTCATTCTAGCTACTCAGGAAGTTGAGATCTGGAGGATCATGGTGCCAAGCCAGTCTGGACAGGACAGTGTATGAGACTCTTATCAATGAACCATCAGAAAAAAAAGTGGCACTGTGGCTCAAGTGGTAGTGTGCCAGCCTTGAGAAAAAGAGCTCAAGGACAGCGCTCACAGCCAACAACAACAAGGAGAGGCATTGCATGCTGTCTTTGGGATTGGCATGGGCCAAATATAATTGGAATTAATTATAATTGGAATTAATCAAGTCCTCTAAGACAAAGAAGTACCTCCTTTAGTCCTGTGCTCCTCCATCTCCTCTCACCCCCTGGCCTTGTCCATGCTTTGTGTCAGCATTGGTTTGGCTGGATGGAAGGGCTCCAAGGAAGATCCCAGAGCAATCTCCCCACCTCCTTCTGCCCTGCTCACCCTGCTGCTTCTGCTCTTTGCCATAGACCTTCTTCCTGGAATCCATCCATGAGGTAATCACCACCAACATAGTGGTGAGTGGTGAGTCTGGCCTAACTAGGGGCAGTCAGAGGTGGAAGTAGGTCTGGGACTAGAAGCTTCCACCTTGGGTGTAGGCTGAGGCCATGGCGGACCTTTATTTCTTCCTGAGCCTTGCAGTGGTGGGGAGACAGTGTAGACTTCACATTGAGTCAGGTAAGATCGGAATCTGGAGGATTACTTGTGTGGGTGAGGATGTGGGACTCAGGGGGCCAGTTTTTGGTACTCTCTTGGGAATCCCCTCTCCTTCTCTCATCCCTCAATGGTAGAAGAGAAACTTCAACTAAGGGTGTGGGGAGAGTGGTAAGGGGAATATTTTGGTGTGAACCAGACTTGTGCTTCATATTCATCCTAGCCCCTACTTCCTATTTATCTGAGGAATGGTCATATGGGTTTGGGAGGGGGAAAAATCATCCTAGCTGAGAATGTGGCTTAGTGGTAGAGTGTTCACCTAGCATGCCTGAAGCCCTGGGTTCTATTCCACACAGAAAAAGTGTAAGGGGAGGTGGGAGCAGCCTTGATCAAAAAGAGCTCAGGGACAGTGGCTAGGCATGGGTTCAAGCCCCAAGGCTGGAAGAACAAATCTTTGTTTTTAGGCCTTTCTTTTGCATTGAAAACAATTTATTCTTTTTGATAAGCATAACATGGGTCTCTTTCCTGGCCACCAATGGGCCCTTAGATGTCCCTTGAGTTTGGACCAACTCCCTGCAGCCTCTGCCCTATCCTACCCTCAGTTTATCCTTCCTGTTGCCCGGCAGATGGAGGCCTGAGAGAAAGCCACTTGGCCACCTACTTCTGGTGGCTGCCAAGGCTTTTCAGAGTCAGTATGTCACATAGAGAGTCATATCTGCATCAGTCTACAGGAGAAAGTGAGGGAGCACTCCTCCCCTGAGCCTGGGAGCTGTGGGCTGATCTAGATGGGGGCATCTAGGGTAGGACATGGTCCTTGGGGGAGTCCACTAAGGGGTCAGTAACCCTTACCTCTCCTCTGGCAGTTTCCACACTCTCTTCAAGTTGCAATTCTTCAAAACCTTTCTGCTCCTACCCCATTTTACCCACCACAGGCCCTGAGGTGTCTGAAGCAGTGGTGGTGGTGGAGGGCTCAGCTTGTGCTGGCATCTGGAGACTGCTGTCTGTGCCTTCCCTTGTGAGGAGTGACAGCAGCTCCCACAGCACTCTCCTCTTCTCCAGCATCTCCTAGGACAGCGAGTGCATGCACTGGGCTTTGTCCCAACACAGCTCATTCAGGACCAACATCTGCTCTTTACACACCATGAGGGACTCCTCGATAGTTCGGATGTGTGCTGACAGCTGGCAGCATCAATGGGGAAGCTCACCTGCTGGACTCTGGAAGTCCACCTCATCAGGCAGGTCATGGATGAAGCAGATTTTTTTTTCAGATGCCCATGTGTCCCACTTCCCATCTCCACGCATTCTGTGGTGGCAGATCATGGGGCTGAGGTCCTGTGGCTCCAGCTCAGTCTGGCACTGAGCTGCTGGGTCGGCCAGGGGGCAACTGCAACTGGCCCGCCATTCTTGTGGCAGGAGTTTCCCCCTGTGGATCTCATCCTCCAAGAGTACTCTCAGAGCCATGTCACTCTTGGTCTGGGGAACATCTCCATCCTCTGTGATGGTCACATCGCAATGGAGGCGGTTGCAGAGAATCGCCTCCTTATCTTTTGTTTCTGCAGGGCTCATGCCTTCACCTTGCACAGGGAAAGCCAGGAAGCTCAGCTGGGCCTGCAGGCACTCCTCCTGTGATCTGGTGGCTTCCAGGCACTTGAGAGTGTCCTGCCACTTTGTGGACACCACCTGGTCCCTCCAGTTTGTTGAGCCCTTCACTTGCTTCAGCTTCTCCAGCAGCTGGGTCTGCCTCTCTAAGTGCTGCTGCAGGGCCTCCTTCTCAGAGCACAGCCGCTCATTGGAGGAGATGTGCCATTCACAGGAGGCTCTGAACTCCTGCACTGGCCCAGGGACTGCTCCTGCTGCTCCTGAGCTGCTTGGCTCTCTCTCTCAGCCACCACTACCGATTTGCCTATCTTCTCCTCTGAGCAGTCCTACTGTTCTAGCAGATGTTTCTTCATCTGCTGCTCTGAGTCCAGGATGCTGGTGAGCTCCTCCTTCTCACTGCTCACCCTGTGGAGAGCTTCCCACAGAAGGGCCAGCTTTTCCTCCAGTTGTCCATCCCACACACATGCTCATGTGGGGTCTCAGGGATCTCCTGCTGATCCTAGGCTTTCTCCTCCAATCTCTGCAGTTGCTCCTGCTGCTCCATGTTCTGAAGACAGAGACTGGTTTTCCTGGACCTGGATGTGAAGTTGTTCCTCCATGTTTTTCAACTCCATCTCCTTGGTGTAGGCCTGGGCTTGCAGATGCCACTTGGCCTGAGATGGTTCCGTGGGGGGTGTGTGGCTTTACCAGCTTCCTTCTAAGTTTCTGCAGCTCATTCCCTAGGTCCAACACATGCCTTGGCCCTCATTCCTTCTCCTCTGTCAGTTGGTTCAGCCATTGGGTCAGCCGCCATGCCTCCTCCTTTCGTGTGTACCTCTCAATGCTCACGTCCTCCATTAAGGTGTCTCTCTCCAGATTCGCTGTGGTCACCAGCCAGCTCAGGTTGTCCAGTAGTCTCTTTAGTACCGCATGCCCCTCCAGCGCTTGTTGGAGCTTGCATATTCTCTTCTTCACGTTGCTCCTCTGTATCCACAGCACTTCCACCTTCTCCTGCAACTCTGTGTTCACTTGCTCTAGGACATTTTAGCTTCTGGTCTTTTCTTAGAGCTGAAGGGTCACATCATTCAGCTGTTTGAAGAACATTTTGGTCTCCTTCTTTGCAGCAGTGACTGCAGAAGCCGCTATCTCCAGCTCTGCCATGGGCAACTCTGTAGCTTGCAGGCAGCTGGTGAGAGCTTCGTGCTCCCTTTCTCTGTCATAAGTGGCCTGCTGCACTTGGGCCAGTGCACATTGTAAATCGCTTTCTGCTGAAACCAACTGCTGTATGGGTGCCTTGTGGATCTCTACCTGCATTTTTGGTGCTGCATGTATCTCGGCTATCTTCTCCCTCTCTTACTCCCATTGATCCTGTGGGTCTGTCTTTCCCTGCTTCAGTGGTTGATCTTGGCACAGAGTACGTGGTTTCTTCTTTTTTTAAAAAATTTTATTTTATTTTATTTGTGAACATACTGTACAGAGGCATGGGCAGGATAATGCATACATTTCTTACCAAATTTGCAGCCTCCTCCTTTGTTTACCCTTCACATCCCTTCCCAGCCTCCCCCCTCTCCCAAAATCCCAATCCTTCTCATTCCCCCCCCCCGTTTCTTCTTTTCTGTGGTCCAGGGTGGGCACTACATGCGGATAGCACCTCTGTGGATCCTTGGTGGTATTGGGACCCTTGACACTCTGGAATCTGGTGGCTGTGACTGTGTCCAAAGGCAGGGGAGGCCCATGGTCCGCATCACCTTTGGCCGGACTCTCCATTCAATCTGGCTCCCCAGTGGTGTTTGTCTTGGGGATCCCTCCCTTTTTCATGTTCTTTGTTTTCTTGAATGTTTCAGGGCTGTCGGGAGGATACTGCTGGTGTTCTTGGGGCATTTTCTTGCCCACAGTTCTCTCATTGATTCTTATTGTTTCAGACATCTGAGACCCGGGATGGGAAAGTTGGGCTGGCTATGTTCCCAGGCTCTAGGAAATCCTCTCTTCTCCCACTCACCGACTAGGATGTCATTTCCTACTCTACCTCAAAGTCGAATGGAGACTCTTGCTCACCACTCAGCCACCTCTACCTTCCTCAACTGCTGGTAGTGGTGTCACCCAACAGAAGGAATCCAGTTGCTACTGGGAAGCATGGAATGTGGGCGTGGCCACTATTCTTGTATCCCATTGGTCAAAAAGAACCATGAAAGAATGGGGATGTGCATGGAATGCTTTGATGCAGACAGAATGGATGGAGTCAAGATGACAGCAGCCCCTTTACCAGGAAAATATGTCCAATCCAGTTGGGGACAAGAGGGAGACCTGCTTTATCCAGATGGCTGCACAGATTGTTTTTTATGTCTGTTTGTTGCCAGTCCTGAAACTTGAACTCAGGATCTGGGCACAGTCAATGAGCTGTTCTTGTTCAAGATTAGCCCTCTACCACTGGAGCCACACAGCTCTACTTCGAGCTTTGTTGGCATTGAGGTTGGACAGGGGTCTCAAGGACTTTCCTGCCTAGGGTGACTTTGACCATGATCCTCCTATCACAGCCTTGTAAGTATGAAGGAGGACTGGTGAGAGCCACTGGTGCCTGGTTAATCATTGTTCGGGATTATAGCTTCCCCATTAGCCT